GGGTTAAAAAAAATCCTGTATTAAAATCTGTGTTTTTTTCTTCTTCATCTTCTGCAGGCCAGTTAGTTCTACGTCAGCCTGAACACCTAAACTCAGCCAATCATATATCAACGGTCATCTGTCAATCACATTTTTTCTGTCATAGCATCTTCATTCAAATGTCGCAGCTAATATACGCAACAGTTGAAATAAGAATAATTTCCTTTCCCATTGAGTTCCGTCCCAGTTTTCCCAGCATGTCGCAGACACATAACCACCATCAGTGCTTGAATGGGTGAATGACTGAATGTGGTGTAAAAAAGTGCAGGCCATTCACCCTTTAACAATTTTATCCATATTCATAAATAGCACTACCAGCTGCTACATTAACATGTGCACGATAATATATAAGAGAAGAAATCAATCAAGTTCATGAGAATGTGGAGGATAGATGACCTTTATTTAGTAAAAAAGACTTTAATATTTATGTTGTGTTAAAATGTCAGCAGCCAAAGTGAAAACAGTACAAAATTGAAAAAAAGTAATATGTGAAATACCTATTTCAGATGTTTTAATGCAGATAGTTAATAAAGCATTTATTTTTACACAATATTTATATGAAGACCCATTGATTTGCTCAGACAGAAGAATTTAGATTAGCTCTATTGCTAAAAGACACTGATGAAAATCTTTGCTTCCATCTTGTTCTTTTTTAGGATGTTATACATAAATATGACATGTTTATTGACTTCTTTTTCAAACAGAATAAAATAAGTTGGGTTATAAAAAATGCAAAGCAAGATAAGATGTTAAAAACTATTCTAAATCAAGCAGATCTCATAAAAACCATAACTGTTGTTTGGAAAGAAATCTAATCCCGACATTTTCTGGGACTTACAGAGTAAGTAGCTACTTATAAACAGTTTAGTAATCATTTCATAAAAAAAATGAAAAATAAAAATAAGAAAAGTGAATCCGTTACTGGAACAAAAGGATTACTTTGATGGAAGCTTGGATTATTCTTCAGAACCAGAGGGATGTTTCATAAAATTGGCTTTATAAGTCAGCCCTGATTGGCCACATCTAGCTTATTGAACTTAACCTGGTTGTGACGAGGTTTAGAGCTGATCAAAGGGCTGGTTATCCTCCCCCAGCAGTGTGTCGCAGTGAGCTTGACGCAGATTTTTTTGATTTATGCCCAATATTAAAGCTATGTTATTCCACGCCACAACGCCAGAGGGCCAATCAGGAACTAGCTGTGGGTCTAGATATGGCCGAGGCGGTGAGGAAGTGAGGGCAAGTTTGTGCGACAACAGAGGGACATGAGGGCCAAAAAGAGCGGGGATCCAGGCGGAAAAAGGGTCCCAGCGTAGTTTAAGTTTTATCTTTGAGTTTTCATTGTTTTTATTTCCATTTGGAGTTATTCTAGTTATTTTTGTTGTATTTGAGTTCTTAGGTATTTCCTGTTTGCCCTCTGCTGCCCTCTTGTGTCAGTCTCCTTTTCTCCTAGCTCCCTTCTAGTCTCCTCTGTTCACACCTGCTCCCAATCTGCTAATTAGTCTGCTCTTTGTTTCTCTCTCCCATATATTCTCCTCCTGCTCAGTCACTGTTGCTGGATTGTTGTCATTTCTTTGCCCCCTTGTTCTGAAAATTCCTGGTTCTCAGTTTTTGTGGATTTTGTTGATTTATGTTTTTGGATTTTTTGCTTCTGTTACCCTTTTTTGGTAATAAATCTGCAAGTAATCACCTTCAGCTTCAGTGTCTGCATTTGGGTCCTGTCAAACCTCCACCTAACTTGACAGTGAACTCTGATTGGCCGCATTGTCTGCTTATGTGAGAGAAAACTCTGATCAGTTGAACCTGTCTGAAATTAATGGCATTAACCCTTTAATTGCCTTTTCAACCTCCATTTTGTTGAGCAACTGGTTAAACAGGTGAAGCGTCCCTTTAGGGAAACCTAGTTATGAGGTTCCCCCATGGAGATAAATCAAAATTAACTTCCAAATACACATATTAAATTAAACTCTTCCATATAATATACTGAAAAACGT